AGTACATTTACTATTCGACCCAGCAATCCCACTCCTAGGCCTTCATTCAAGAAAAATTAATACGTATATTCAAAAAGACTGGTATGTGAATATTCATAACAGCATTATTCCTAATAGTCAAAAATAAAAACAATTCAAATGTCTATTAACTGGTAAATAGACAAAATAAAGTCCATAGTATGGACGTTACATAGTATGTCCACACTATGTAATACTAATCATCCATAAAAAGAAATATTAATATATACAACATGAATTAATTTCAAAATATAAAACTAAGTCAAAGAAATTAAATGAAAAATATTATGTACTGTATGACTATATTTATATTAAGTTCTATAAAAGGCAAAGGTATAGTGACATAAAGTAGATAAATCTCACCAGGGATGGGGGAGGGCATGTGGCTCAACCGCAAAAGGGCACAAGGAACTGATGATAGAACTGTTCTGTATCTTGAATTTTGGTGGGAGTTAAATGACTATATAATAACCCTTTGGTTTCCCTCCTTGCCACCTCCTCCCATGGATACTAAAATCCTTGGATGCTCAAGGCTGAAGACCCTTATATAAAAAAACATACTATTTGCATATAACCTACCCACATCCTCCCATATACTTTAAATCATCTCTAGATTATTTATAATACTTAATACAATGTAAATGCTATGTAAACTGTTTCTATACTAAATTGTTTAGGGAACAATGACAAGAAAAAAATATGTACATGTTCAGTGCAGTTGCAACCAGTGTAAGCCTAACTATTGGCATACTTAGAACACATTGCAGGTTTAGTTCTGACCACTGCAATAAAGTAAGTCACACAAGTTGTTTCCCAATGCATGTAAAAGTTATGTTTATACTATACTAGTAGTCCAGTGATTTTAAACCTTTTTCATGGCAAATATAAACTAGTCACTGAAATTACCAAAAAATATATTTTTCCCAATTTGACCACAAAAATAAGTCAAATTTTGATTCAGTCACACCAGACAGCTATCATTGTGTTGGCTGTTTCCTTTTTTTTTTTTTAATTTGACAATCTAAAAGAAAAGAGGTCAGTGCCCCTGACTAAACAGTCAGGTATTGCATGTTTTAAAAATTCATACAGCACAGTTTGACAATTGTTGCTATAGTCTATTAGGAGTGCAAAAGCATGTGCAAATAAAATGTACATATCTTAATTAAAGTATACTTTATTGCTAAAGAAAAAAAAAACAAGCTAACTTATCTGGCCCTGTTGGAACAATGATTACGATAGATTTGCTCAATGCAGGATTGCCCCAAACATTCAATTCGTGAAAAATGCAGTATCTACAAAGTACAATAAATCAAAGTACAATAAAACTAGGCATGCCTGTACATGGTACACATCAGGAACAATATTTTTTTACCAAACATTTTTTATTCAAGGTTGGTTGAACCCTTGCATGTGGAAACCAGATATGAGGAGCCAACTGTATACAATCACTAAAGCTTATCATATAACATACCAAAAAAGAGTGACTTTTATTTTATATGTTTACCTCAATAAATTGAAAAAATAAATCTTACCACACTAAAATGTTACAACATCACAAATTATTTAATAATTATCTTGTTTGTGCCAAAGACTGCAGGCAAGAAGGATAAAAATACTGCCCTTTCTGTCGATGAGCTTTTTTGTTTTAAAGATCTTAATTATTTTTAGAGAAGAGGGAGAGAGAGAAGAAGAGAAGTGTGTGGTTGCCTCTTATGTGCCCCCTGCTGGGGACCTGGCCTGCAACCCAGGCATGTACCCTGTCTGAAAATCTAACCAGCAACTCTTTGGTGCTCAGGCCAGTGCTCAATCCACTAAACCACACCAACCAGGGCTGTTAATGAACTTTAATGTATGTCTTAGACATCAAAGTGAAAAATACAAATATAAGAGAGTATATACTTTGAGTCCAATTTGAATGTAAACTACAATATGAGATGGAGAGACTGGAAAGCTGAGAGTAGTAAAGACCTTTTAATTAAAATGAAGCTCAAAATTAAACAATAGACAGAACTTTGACAGATGGATCACTGCACAATTAAAGGCAAAGATGCAGAGAATTTCATATATATGAAGGGGGAGGTAAGAAGGATGCAACTGATCCTATTTCAAGCTGCAATAATAACCATAATCACCTTGTGTGTGGCTAGAAGAGAGACTGAAAATATACTCATGTATAAAATACACATTGCCCACAGAAGAGAGTAAACAGATATTGTCTAAAGAAATCAAGAATGAGCTAAAAAATTATGGATGCAAGGGCAATTAAGAAAAATGAAAAAATACATACTTTTAAACTTTTAGAAGAATGGACATATGTACTCAAAACAAAGAAATTAACATCTTACAGTAAAAGATAAAAAGGAGATAAAATTTAAAACAATGTATAATATTAAATAGGAGAACCAGTATCAGCCATATTATTTCTGTCAGTAAATGCAAGTAAAATAAACAACTATTAAAAGAAAAGGACTATGATAATAGGCTCATACAAAAAATTCTCAGGCCCTAACCCAGAACCCCTGAATCAGAAGATGTGTGTGGCCCTCGCTGGTGTAGCTCAGTGAATTGAGCACAGGCCTGTGAAGCAAAGGATTGCAGTTCAATTCCCAGCCAGGGCACATGCCTGGGTTGCAAGCCAGTTCCCAGTGGGGGACACATGAGAGGCAACCACACATTGATGTTTGTCTCCCTCTCTCCTTCCCTTCCCCTTTAAGATAAATAAATAAAATCTTTAAAAAGAAAACCACTTGGTAAAATCAAACAATAAATTTTAAAAAAAGATGATGTGTGTGTGGGGCCCGGCAATCTGTATTTAACAAGCCCTCCACATTATTTCAGGCATGCTAAAATTTAACAATTCTATAGCAAAACCCATCTAAACGTTATATATGCAGATACGCATCTAAAACAGTATGTATCAGAAGTGTTGAAAATAAAAATAAAAATAAAAAAGATAATTATGAACAAATAAACTATAGAAATAAAAAAACACATTAATAACTGATTAGACTACCCCACAAACTATGTACATATATAAAAATAGGAAAATAAAATATATACTAATTTATAATATACAGCTAATCAGTTTATTCTGTATCTTGAAAACACATAGTAGACCATTGTTTTAAATGCTCAAAGAACAATTCCCAAATCCAGCCCATATAATATTCATATAAAACCTCAAATATTCCACAAACTAGAAAAGGGAAAGACAAAATACTATCACACACACACACACAAAAACAACTAACCCCTTAAATTAGAAAACAAAATCTTTCATTTGCAATTCAGTCCTCTCTGGTGTGGCTTAGTGGATTGAGTGCTGGCCCGTGAAACAAAATGTCGCAGGTTTGATTCCCAGTCAGGGAACGTGCCTAGGTTGTGGGCCAGGTTTCTCAGTTGGGGATGTGTGAGAGGCAACCAACTGATGTACCTCTCGTATATTGATGTTTCTCTCCCTCTCTTTCTCCCACCCTTCCCTTCTCTCAAAGAAGTAAATAAAATCTTTTTAACAAATTCAAAATTTCCTGGCTTGAACTAAAACTCTTTGGTCAAAGAAAAAAATTAAAATAAATTACAGAATATTCAGAAGTATTAGTCAGAAAACAATGTATATCAGAAACCACAGAACATTTTTGAAAAAAAAATGCTTGTAGAAGTTTTAGCATAAGTGGTTACATTATTTTTAAAAGAAATAAAGCATTCAGGCCCTGGCTGGTGTAGCTCAGTGGATTGAGCACGGGCCTGTGAACCACGTGATCGCAGTTTGATTCCCAGTCAAGGCACATGCCTGGGTTGCAGGCTGGTTCCCTGCAGGCCAGTTCTCCCAGGGGACGCATGAAAGGCAACCATACATTGATATTTCTCTCCCTCTCTCCTTCCCCCCTTCTCCTCTAAAGATAAATAAATAAAATCTAAAAATAAAAAAGAAGTTTGCTTAAAAAAAAAAGAAATAAAGCATTCAAATTAAAGAGTCACAAAAAACTAAACATAATAAAAACATGCATTAGCAAAGATAAGAAAATAAATTAACATATAAGCAATAAAACAAATAATAAATTCATGAGTTGATTCTTAGGGAAAAACGAAAAGAATAAAAGCAAAATAATAAAAGTAAAAAATGACTATTTAAGTATTTGGAAATAGTCACAGATAGAAAATAAGATACAGATTATTTTGTTCAACCTCAGCCAATACATTTGAAAACCTAGCAAATACAACCTATGAAAACTAAAACCACAAAAGACAGAAAATCTAAACAGAAAAAATACATAGGAAAAAAATAGAGGAAATTGTTAAGATGTTTCATGACCCCAAAGCCCACAGAGCAGATAGCTAAAAGGCATGTGGATTTTACTAAACTTTTAACAAATTACAGTAATGTTATTATTTAAATTTTTCCAATTGATTCTTTAATTTATTAAATTTGCAAAAGCATAATATACAACACATTAGGGCTTAAGCTACTAAATTCCTAATAAGCCAAAAAAACCCCACAAAATTATATCTCTTTCATAATTAAAGCTCCTTGTATTTTTATAGGATTTACATCAATATCTCTCAAACATACTTATCAGAATTGCATTTTTCATACTATAACATGACAGTCCTAAACTGAACTAGGCAACATCATCTGAATACAAGGCAGACAGATCCTTTCAAGAGAATGTCTATGGTTCAAAAGTATTTTCAAAATATAAATCAAAAAGCTCTAATGTCAAGCAAACTATGTTTGTGCTATAATCCCTGAGTTGAGTAGCTGCAGTAGAGATATTATGGCCTACAAAATCTAAAATATTTATTATCTGGCTCTTTACAGAAAGTTTACTGACCCCCTAGAGTAGTGATTCCTTCATCTACCTGATTGGAAGTAGGATACATTGTTGCTCCAGCCCCAACCACAACTAAATAGACAAGCTGGGAGAAATCTGGATCCTTAAACAAACACAAAGACCAAAGCTACCATGCATTTTACTACTTACCCTGAAACTGCTTTGTGACCAAAAAAGGATGTCAAGTCATTGCTGAGGATCAAAGCAGCACCCCAGATTTCAGGCTGAGCCCTTAGGACAATCAGACACTTTTAAGAACAAGGAAAGTGCAGCTCCTGGGGATGCACAAGGAAGCTGGCCTATGAAAAAGATCAAAGTAATGATGACCCTTTGGTTTAGAAGCTGGAATAAATGTATGAGAGGGAACCCCCCAAAACATAAATTTATTTATACAAAATTGTGTATTTATTCTTACATGTTTAAACTTTAGTCACTTTCAAAGTACTCTCCATTTGATGCAATATACCTACCAAGACTTTTTTCCACTGCTCAAAATAGTTTTTGAGCTCATCTATTTTGATGCTTTTTAGTGCTTCTGTTGGTTTTTTGTTTCACCTCTTCCACATCAGTAAAACATTTGCCTTTGGGGATTTTTTTTATCTGGGGAAACAACAACAAAAAAAGTTGCTTGGGCAACATAGGGTGAATAGGATAGCTATCAAATTCAGGAGGATAGGGCACAGGGGTCATGCCGTTAGTGGGGCAAAAACTGCTGAACACTCAGTGTAGTGTGAGTAGGTGCCCTCATAAATCACCATTCATTAAATGGGCAAATGTCTTCAAAAAAAATTCACTGAAGCCAAATGCAGCCTCTCACAACAATATTAGCTGATTCAATGATACACTCACCTAGTAGGAGAAGCCTGAACTACAAGTGACCTGCCCTCCAGAAAAAAAATCCAAGTTTTGGGGGGTCGCCCCCTCGTACATATGAGCACATGGAAAAAATATTTGTACTTTGCATCTGAGGCCAAACCCATCATACAATTTTAAGGCTGCCCACTCAATTCATAAATGGAACACAGAAGGTAACTTATTTTCATAATTTAGGTTATACAGAGAAACTACGAGACTGAGTTGCTCCAGTTCTCCAGAATTACAACCCATATAGGTACTTTCGATCAGGCATTACTTGTGGTCTTGCTCCTTATTGAACAGTCACAGTTTTGAATATAATATTCTTCCATAACAACTTTTCTCATAAATTTGAAGTCACCAACCTTGAGTGATATGAATAAAATGTAAAGGAAGTTATTCTTGTATTGTTCATGATTCAGAGTTCTTAAAATTTTTAGAAATCTCTATGAAAAATTAAATATTATAAGTGTCCTACAATTATATGGTCATTCATTGATTTAGCAAACATACATATTTATCATTTACTAAGTATGATAAATAGAGCAGGCTCTCCAGTTTTTAGTGGGGTGTGACAGATAAAAGGGACAAAATTACTCAGAAGCTCTTCCATTACTCAGATGTAAGAGGATTAGCATCTGGCTACACTACGTTATGAATTGATGAAACAGCACATACAGAAGGGGTAATGGATGGAGGCAAACTATAGGATGAAGGAATTACAATATCTTGGACATAAAGAGTTTGAAGTTCCTGGGCAACCTCCAGAGGAAGTGTCCACTGGGCACTTGGATATATGGATGAGTAGCTTAGGGCAAACCTCAGAGAGAAATGAACATTTGTTATTTGTCAGCTGAAGCCATAATGGAATGCTATTGCCATAGAGTCCTTTGAGATGAAAAAAGATGATCAAACTCAGAAACTCAGTAATAATAATTGTTAAAGGACAAACAGAAATGTAAGTCACTAATGCACTTGTGGGGAGGGTTTGCTCCTTGTTTTTGACTGGAATTATAAAAATGAGAATAGTGAGAAGGTCAAGGAAACATTCAAGAATGAGGCAACAATAAACATCTAAAAAGCAATGGAGCTAACACAGAAATCTAATTCCTCCACCCCGGTTAAAAATGGAAATACACAAAACAGGCAAGCAAAAAATGTGATTCATACCCCTGCCCTGGCTGCTGCATCTGTCCCCAACATTCTTTACTTTCTGTGTAAACCTCAAGTTTCTCCATGCAATTACAAATACACATTATCTCCATTTACTCAAAAAGGTAGTATATTACACCAAACATTGTGTACCTTGCTTTCTTCACATAACAAAATACCTTGCAGAGTTTAAAAATCTAAAATGTGATATATATTTCCATTTGCTCACATCTTCTTTTGAGCTCTTCATTAACATTTAAAAACATTTATTGTTTCTCCCTGGGTGTTTTATCTGATTTGTTGCTTTTGTAAACAACCATCTTTTCTGCAACTGATTACTTTTTGTATAATTTTTGTATATGAATTTTTGTAGTGTGATCCTTTGGGCCATATGGCCTGAGAAAAACCTGGTCAAATTAGGAGTCAGATTGCCATACTCATTTACAAATTAGACAGTTTTTAATCGTTTACCTGATCTCTCTGCACAAAAAGGACAACTTGTAATTCTGTGTTGTCTGCACAAGTAGAAATTACCTCTTACAGCTATATTCCTTAGTCCAGAGCTTCTCAAACCAGCCTCACCAAAGTTCCTTCCAAAGGATTAAGTCAATACCCACGAAGGAATCTAGACACTCAATAAAAAGTTTTTCGGGAATCTTTCCTCTTTAAAAAACTGCCGATTTCGTTTCTACACTAGCTAGCTTTTATGTAAAATCGCTTTAAAAATTATTTCGCCTAAAATTGCTCAATTGCTGGGCCGCCTTCTTTTATCTTTCAGAAACAGATGCTCCAGAAAGATGCATTCTTGCAGTCATTACTTTAGAAATGGAAAAAGCGAGGGTTAGAGGTTGCTATGCCACAAAATTCACATGCCATTCACCCTCACCAACTTGGAACCACAATGTGTCTCACACAGGTTGTAATTCTACAACCCTCTCACACCTACTTATACCCTCCGTCACCCACCCGCGAGCCCGCCCCAGTTCCTTCCAGTACCCCTGCCCCTCCACATAAGCTATGTGACTGCACGTCACATAAGACAATTCCTTCTTCTCAGCCTCTCCAACCCCGTTGCAGACACTGCGAATCCTCCTCTACAGCCTCCAAGCAGGTTAATGAGCCGAGAAACGCAAGTCCCGCGGCCAGATTCGCGTTTGGCGGAGCCGAAACCACTCACCAGCAAACAAAGACTTCGATGGCGAGCGAGAATTCTGCGCCTGCGCTTTCCTTGGGCTGATTAGCACTCCCAGCGGTCTCCAGGGTTCTGCCAAGCCCGTGTACAGTACAGGAAGGAATCAGTTGATGTTGACAGTTCTGCCACTTTTCTGACTGCGGACTACACTTCCCAGCAGCAGTAATGGCTCCAGTCTCCTACAGAACTCAGTTAACTCTCTGCATAGAGAGTGCTGTGCCTTGGCTTTTTACAAGCTCAGCTCAAGCATGCCGGGTTGACTCCTAGTAGAAGCCATAGTCGAGGTAACACTGGAAGAACCAGAAGACTACTGGGTGCGGTTCTCTGCTTTCTTTGGCCTTGTTCAAGCCCAACTCCATCTACTGTATCGCGAGGACTGCTGAACTACAGTTCCCAGAGGGCACCACGCCTGTCAGGAGGTGGAGTGTTCTGGCAGACCCAGAAATGGAGCCCGGTAATAGTGCCTGAGTGGTCCCGCCCCGTCGCTGACGTGATTCGGAGGAGACGGAAGATGAAAGGTACGGGGGTGAGGACAGGAGGGAAGTCTGTCTTTTCGGGCGGGACGGCCAGAGAAGGGGTGATTGTAAAGTTGTTTGTGATTGTGTGTCCCAGTGTTGTGTTTGTGATTTTGACTCTGTCTGGTACTGTGTGTGCGGAGGTGAGGAGCTTTGGTGTGGTTGTGAATCCCCGTAGTATGACTGTTAATGATTGACGGTGTAAACACTGTGCGGGTGTGACCTGTGACTTTGTCCCCGTGGTAGGTACGTGATTGTGAATATGTGATCTTGTATTCCTCTTTGCGTGAAATAATAATTGTGATATCTAAAAGGCATGTTTAAGGTGCCTCGGCATTTTCTCCTTGTTTCCAAAAAATATTTTTCAGGACATGATTTTCTTTCTTTCTTGGTATATGCCTAAAAAGACCCATCAAGTGATCGGGAACCTACTATTTGTTTTTAGAAATATCTTCCATCGCTTCTCGGCCTTTTGGCTAAGATCAAGTGTAGAAATATCTTCCTTGCAGTTCCTAATTTTCTTTTTATTAATAAGGCAAATGATTCAGGTTATCTTGTGTGCTGAGTGTTTTGGTTTTATATGTGTACACAAATAACATGTACGTATATTTCTGTGTACATATATACATATATATTTTATATTTTCATTCAATTGATATTGTAACTTCTTACATAATTGAAGGATCTTTGAGAATATTTTTAATATTATATACTGTTAGTTGTGTAGTCACTTATCTCTAGCCCAATATTCATTCTCTCACTTTTTTCATTAAATGTATTGGGGTCACGTTGATTAATAAGAGTACATATTTAGGTTTCAGGTAAACATTTCTATGACCTTTATGTTGCATTATGTGCCCACCATGCAAAGTCATATCATCTTCTGTCACCATATTTTACTCCCTTACCCTTGACTACTCCCTCTGCCCTCCTCTCCTCTGATAACCACAATACTGTTGTCTATGAGTTTTTGTTTTTCTTGTTTGTTCATTTGTTTTCAGTTTTATATCCCACTCATGAGTGAAATCATATGGTTCTTATTTTGCTTAGCATGACATTCTCAAGTTCTAACCATGTTTTTGCAAATGGCAGTATTTCAGTAGTATTCCATTGTACAGGGGTAGGCAAAAGTAGGTTTACAGATATAAGTGTGTGAAATAGTTAATAAAGCTATTATAGTCATAACCTGCATGTCACAACTGTAAACCTACTTTTGCTCCAGCCTCTGTATGTACCACATCTTTATCTAATCATCTAAGGAAGGGCACTTTGGCTGTTTCCATATCTTAGCCACTGCAAATAATGCTGCAACAAACACAGGGATGCATATATTTTTGCAAGTAAATGTTTTCAAAATTTTCAGGCAGATACCCAGAAGAGGGATTGCTGGGTCATATGGTAACTCTATGCTTAATTTTTTTGAGGGACCTTTATACTGTTTTCCATAGTGGCTGTACCAGTTTACATTCGCACCAGCAGTGAAGGAGGGTTCCTTTTTCTCCACATGTGTGAAGTAGTTTTGATTTGCATTTCTCTAAGAGCTAGTGAAGTTGAGCACGTTCACATATCTGTTGGTCATTTGTATGTTTTCTTGGGAGAAGTTTCTGTTTATGTCCTCTGCCCATATTTTTAAAACAGTAGAAAACAAAATTTTAATACAAGTGCATGGGGAATTTGCATAAGGGTGAAAACTGCAGACAGTGAGGTGACACAAGGTGTATATAAGATTTTGGACAAAGAAAAAAAGATAGGGCTAGGAAATGGAGTCTTAGATTTTAGAAGTGAGAATAAACAATTTGCAGGTAGATGAGGAAGAGCATAATGCACAGGCAGGCAAATTCTTGCTTGGTGGCCCAGGAACAGTGGGACGCAGTGGGAATCTAGTAAACATGCTTCTGCTTGTTTAGAGCTTCCTGTCAAATGCTAAGGTGATTATGTTAAGGTTCACTTCCTGAAGCAGATTTTTTCCCCTCTGAGTCTCAGGCAGGAAAGGAGAAAGAGCCAAAGGTTCTTTTTGAAACTTATTTCTTAATAACCAGCTAAAAATGAAAGGCAGCTTTTGGTTGGCAAAACTTGCCCCCCCACCCTTTATTATCCAGAAATTGAAAGTAGCTACTACTGTTCAACTGGGTCCAAAGGTTGAAAGCCAGCACTTTCCAAGATGGTCACATCCTTGCTGTGGCCAAACCCATTTAACCCTATTATCTGAGAATGCATGTGATTATGCACAAGAATGTTTATGTGTTGCGACTTTCCTCTTTGGTTGGCTTTTTGAGGTTCCCGTCAGTGAGTAAAAGGTTCTGATAATCAAAAAGACTATGCTTTTAAATTTCTGAACAGCGATGGGAAATGAAGATCCCAATTGCCTGGACCAACCTTTATTCAGACATGTGGGAAGACCTGCTTGATTTTACAATCCTGAGCTGTGGTGGGGCTCTGCCCATAGAGCCTCCCCATCCACCATGGATGAGAATAAGTCTACCAAGACATGATCTGCTTGGGGAGGAAAGGTGGCCCATCTCTCAAAGGAGAAGGGCCAAGAACCTTTTCCTCAATGGGCTTTTATCGGGTTCAGTTTGCACAGGAATATAGGTAAAGCTCATCAGTCATTGTCAGGCAATAAGGATCGAACAATAGACAACATACAGAGAACTACGAGGGCTTATCCTGAGTCAGGGTCAGTTAGCTAAAGGGCTATAAAACTTTGGGAAACAAACTCATTTCCTGCTCGGACCCTTATCGGAAAATTGAGAATATTCTTAGCAAAGCAGATTTCACAGGATTTTATGTATTCTTTCTTAGGTCTGATTGCCCCAGGGAACTCACCCTTTCCAGCACAGGACTGCATCTCTTTCTGTTTTTGTTTCAGGCTTAAGTAAGGCAGGGGAAGTAAGGCAGCCAAGAGATTAAGAGACTTCTCATAGACAGAATGAGGCCTCAGGCTATGTCAAAGCCAAGGGGTGAGGGTCCATCATCCCCTTTTGCTGTAGCCCCCAAAGACCTTCCCTGAGGGCCCCCATGACCATGCGTGTCTTAGGTCATCCTTCCCTTAAGGAATCTTACCCATCATTGGCTAACATGCCAGGCTCGGAGCCAGGCAGGGTAAAGTAAAGGGGGCAGAGGTAGCGCCCCTGCCTGACAAAGAAGATGAGCTTTGTATCCTTAGTGGCTTATGGACCCAAGGTCTCTCACTCAGTCATAGCCATTGGGGGGGGGGGGCGGGTTACAGCTTCTGAAACCAGGCATTTACTGTTCATGATTTCCAGGGCCATGACTTGCTTCTTGCCTTAGGACCCATCTCCACAGAGCAGGGGGAGTAGCCAGTCATCTTCAGATCAACCCTAAAATGATCTCTTTATGTATGTGTATAGGGTGGAGAGATCATGAAACAATATTTTGAGGACTGTAACAGAACTAAAAATCTCTGGTCCTCAGATTCAAATGCAACAACTGTTTGTATTTTTGTGTCTTTCCTAATATTTGTGCACAAGCAAAAGTATTTTTATATTGTTTTAGTTTGCACCATATATATGTACTTCTAATAATCTGGTTTTTTTTAATAAATAAAAGTTAAAATTTCCCATTAGGTATCTATTTACTGTAAGACATTTAAAACTATAGAAGAGTATTGTATCATTGCTTCTAGACAATGTCTGGTAACATTTTAGTGTTATTTCTTCAAACTTTTACACATGCATTTCTTTTTTTCCTACGTAATTTGATCAAATTGTATATATCATTTTACTTTCTGTTTTTCCTATTCAACTTCCATTTTATTATAAGGTGACAGAATTAATTATCAATTTAAATGATAACTTGGT